TTTGTTGAAATGATGTCAGAAAATGACTGATTGAAGGAGGAAACTCGAACTACCATGCTGTGGTCACTTCATAATCACTCATCAAAAAGCTGTTCAGGCATGAGCCGATGTTTTTCTTCTACAGAAGTGATACTGTTATCAGCATGCGTGTGTGTGTGTGTGTGTGTGTGTGTGTGTGTGTGTGTGTGTGTGTGTGTGTGTGTGTCTGCCTGCTGCAGAGATGACACAGACAGGAAATGATGTGCTGATACAGACAGGCGGCAGAATCTGTAGCAGACTATTTTAGGACCGTGCTGCAGAAGGACAGAGCTCATGATACATCTGGCCATTGTGTGTGTGTGTGTGTGTGTGTGTGTGTGTGTGTGTGTGTGTGTGTGTGTGTGTGTGTGTGTGTGTGTGTGTGTGTGTGTGTGTGTGTGTGAAAGAATGATGCAGTAGGCAGGCTAATGGCTTGAGGTAACGCTTTTAGTGTCCTTCAAGCTCGCTGATATTTTTTTCTTTTCAGCCAAATGAAATAGAACACACTTCTAGTGTGTTTATGTTCTTGTCGTGGGTTGCATTACGCATTTGAGGAGATGGGAGAACTGGGAGGTCAACGAGAGGATGGGCGGACACACAAAGAGGAAGAGGAGGAGGGGGACAGACGTGAGAAGAGTGACTGCAGGAAGAACTGCAGGTTTTCAAAGGGAACGAGGAGGGGTGTGGAGGAAGGGGGAGAGATGCCAGTGAAATGACGAGACCTTGCACGTGGGAATGTGTGGAACAGAGAAAAGGCTGCACACAAGCGTGTGTGGTGGGTGGGGCTCCCGGATGGACCATATTGGTGACGTAAAGTAAACGCAGACAGGAGGAAGGAAAGGGGGAGGAGGGAAACAGTCTTGGATCATTTTATTTCAGCATGCTTTAGATTCTTTCCCAAAGCTATTTACGTCCTGCTTTAGCTTTTCTTCAGTCATTAGTTTGTCTCCAAAACTAAAAACTACAATGAAATAACACTAGTGTGAAGAAAGGCATGCCTACTCACAGGTTCTGTTAATGTTTTTTTTAATCTCATTAATGATCAAGATCAGCAAATTTGTTTTGATGTCGGATAAATCCAAGTAAATGCAAACTGTTTAAAACAGATGATTTTATTTATTACAGAAAGAAAAGAAATCCAAACCAGTCTATTTTCGTTAAATAAAAAAACACAATGACCATAAACTGGTTGGCTAAGTTACACTTGGTGGCAACAACTGGAATCGAGATAATAATTCAGCCACATTGGAGGGTTTTCCAGAAAAAAATGACCTGTTTAAAGTCAGAAATTCCCAACATTCCTCTATTGTTCATCATTGTTAAACACAAACTTATTAAAGGTGTTGGAACACTGAAAAAACATTAAAAAATGATTATTTCCAATTATAATTGGTCACTGTAAGTTTTTCATGCAGGCTGAACATGAAAATAGTCTCCTACACCTATCTCATGCATTAGCTTCTGATAGAAAATAGATGGTGAAACTCTAAGATTAGAAAAGCCTGACAGATCTACGTCACACCCACTTGACTCACGACTGACTGTTGTTGGTTTAGCATCCAGGAATCAGCAGAGAACATCTCGGGTTGTAGAAGCTAACTGTTAGCATTAGCAACTCCACCACACAGCAGAAGGTCCTTTAGGCTAAACATCGGGAAATAAGACTCCAAAATCTGCCGTCTGAAGCTGTGGGCAACTTTTAGGTCCGAGAAATTGTGCACCGGTATATGCCTCCCCCCCCCCCACACACACACACACTGCAAATACATTGATTAAGCAAGTGTTCCACACCTTTAATATTTAAGAAAAGCCATTTATCGGCCATGGCTGTAGGAGTAGTAAGGAAGAAATGACTGGGTTACTTTTAAACACAAAGTGTTATGAATAGGTGATAAGACACTTCCACTTGCCCTTTGTGATCAGAAAACGTGCAAGGACGACAGCCCTGTCAGAGCTGCATCAGTGGAAAGGGCAGCTTGACCTGGTATCAGAATATAATCATTCCCTTTAATTATTATGTCTCTAAAGTTTTAATAATACAGCGCAAGTGTGATTTTACACCCCAAATGATTATTTACACCAAAAAGTCAATCCAAGGAGCTTGACCATGACCATGAACTTTTCCATCCATTAGAATTAATCAAACTTTAGATGTTTATGGGTCTTTTTGTGACACAAAAACCCTCCCAATCTTTTTTGGAGTCACTTTGGAAAACTCAATTCTGAAGCTTTGGATCTTGGCTACAAAAAACCAATCACATGTTGCAGAATGACGACTATTCTTCAGGCTAATAATCATCAAGGTCTTCCAACGGAGATGTTCTGCTGAAACTTGTACACTCAGTGAACTCAAACCTTCATGCATTTCAAAACCCACTGGGGTGTTTTAAACGTTAGTGACTCAAATGTAAAAATACTCTCATCAGTGAGATCATTCTTGGACAAGCTATGAAAAGCCTCGTCAGCTGTCCCTCAAATTTAATGTTTTAACCAGCTCCACAAGTTAACAGCTCTTTCACACTTAAACTTACCAGAATAAGATGTGAGAAGACAGGGATGTACTCCATTGGCTCCAGTGAGTTGGAGGGTGTTTCCCTTTGAAATTCAGATGAAACTCAATAACAGATGTCAGTGAAGAACTGTACTCTTCAAATTGTAGATGTTCCTTTGACACTCAATTCTTTCATAGAACCTGACCTGCTGAGAATACCTGAATCAGGTGCTTAAAAGCAGGGGAACTGAATCTAAAACATGCAGGTTTTTTAAATATTCAATGGAGAAACATTCTGTGGAGATATCTTCAGTCTGTCTATCATCAGATCCCAGTGACAGCAGATTAAGGAGGGAAGCTCAGATGTCCCTGGAAAGAAACAGTGCAAACGATTTTGCTGTCCAGGTCTAGCCACACTCTGTTGTAGTGTCAGCAGGTCTACCATTGGCCCAAACAGTATTAGGTCAGGCCAATGTCAGCACTCTGTGGAGAGATGTTGGGTGGACTTTGCAACAGAGCTCCTCTGGTGATCTGAGTTCCAGCTATGGAGACAAGCTCCGGAGCGCTGCATCTCTCCAGTTTATCATCTCAGCTGAGTCTATTTAAAAAGCAAAACTTTCTGCTGTTTTTACTTTCATTTTCAATATAGTTTCTGGTCGGAGCCCAGCAGTAACTCCCCCCGTGATTATGACAACACCCTCTGTTGCGCCAAGGTGTAATATGCATTCACAAGTCCGGCATTGCGGTAATATTACTACCAAGCTTGGCGGAACAAATGCCACGAAATTCCTGCCTCGCCATGCGGCCACAGAGCGCTCATAATACACACCGTGGCGGCAGTATTATACTGATTTGCCGGCATGGTGTGTCTTCTAAAAGGGGCTTTAAAGAAATGAGAAGATAGAAGTACTGAAAGACCAAGTGTTTTTTCAACACATCTGCAGTGGTCTCTAGTATAAATGAATACCTTGTGAGTCGATCTCAGTGGGGGGAAGCGCCAGTGCTCCTGTTTCGATAACTAGAAACGACACAGCTGAGGTGAGCAGAAGTTGGAAGGTTTAGAAGTCTTATTTCCTGATATTCTGACATCTCAGCTCTGGTTGGCTAACAGCAACTCAACTGGCTGACTCTGCTTTGCAATGTTGATGTTTTATCTCCACACGTAACAGAAACCTGACTGAGTTCTGCCATGTCGTGAAACTGCTAATGCTAACGCTAAGCTTCTACTAGCCAAAATGCGCTCTGCTCTCTCCTGGATACTAAACCAACAACAACCTTCCCCGTCACGAGCTAAGATGGGTGAGTCCATGAATCCTAATTTGACAAAGATGTGCAATAGTGTATTCTACAATTAATGTCACAGCACAAATGCTGCTGGGTGCTACTGCTAGACAAACAAACCACATTTACCAATTTAAAATGGTACCACCCTCCTCTGGTCAAAAGCCTTTGTCATCCATATTTGGATTCTATTTGACATAGATGTGCAGTCAAACTGACTTGAGTGTGTCGCTGAACTGGAGTTAAATCATCTCGGTCTGGAAGCTAGTCGGTGCGATTACTGAGCTGTTAAAATCCATTTCTGGGCTTCAAAGTCGGCTAATTGCTGAGTAAACTCGGCGCTGAGTAAGAGGAGTGTTTTCAGTTTGCCCGATGCAGAGGAGGTAACGCTGCAGAGGCTGATGCTAGTAGCATGGACGCTAATGACTGTAAAGACATACCGGTTTTTAAAGTCAAAGTTAAAGTCCCATTTGTTGTCACACAAACAGGTGAGTGTGCGAAATTTGTTCTCCGCATTTGACCCATCCCCTGGGGGAGCGGTGAGCTGCAGACACAGCCACGCTCGGGCACTATTTGGTGGTTTAACCCCCCCCAATCCAACCCTTAATGCTGAGTGTCAAGCAGGGAGGCATTGAGTCACGTTTTTCCAAAGTCTTTGGTATGACCCGACCAGGGATCGGACCCCTGATCTCCTAGTCTCAGGGCGGACACTCCACCACTAGGCCACTGAGAAAGGTTTTTCTCCTTGAAGCATCAACATCTTCTTTTTTGTTGAAACGCCCTTCCTTCTGCACCAATCTTTCTCTCCCTGGACATTTTGGGATGATGTATGGACAGTTATTTTCACTTGTTGCATTAATTAAACATGGGAGTGGATACACTGCGACCTAGTGGTGAGTCACTGCACTGGGAACACAATCGCCATGCATTATGGGAAATGCAGTTTATAGCCAATGTGTGCTTTGAAGCGGCAGAGACTTATTTTAAGACACTTGAATCTCTCGCGGGCCACATAAAATGATGTGGAGGGCCTTGTGTCTGACACGTCATCTAGATTGAAATCTAAAAAATTTTTGTTTTTCATATTGTGTATTCTACTGACTTTTACCAAGTTCATCAACTCCTTCCAATTCCTGCTAAGGCATTAAAAAATGATCAAACCTACCAGATGTTTACAGGTGTGCAAGAAAACAATCAGACTCAAGAAGGATATGATGCATTCTCTCTGGTTTATTCTGGTTCTTTAGGAAGAATTCAGTTTTAGATTACAAAATGCACTTTAGAAACAGCGGGATAGAGAAAGAAACCGAAGAAGAGAAAGAGATGGTCAGAGAAAGAGAGAAAACGAGAGAAGAGAAAAAGAAGGGACTTCATAGCCAGAATAAATGGGAATAACATCACCAGATTCAGGTTCAGGCAATCTTTACTCTCAAAGGGATTGTTTTCATCAAAGAAAGGTTATGTATGCGTTGTCCCCCTTTATTTAAAATCCTCTGATATTTTTGCCCCCGATAATGTTAGTTAAAGTGTAATCTATCTTTGTTGCCCCACGGTTTTATTCCCCGTGAAAGAACTGGCAAATGTTACAAACATTCTTGGATTTCATCATTCATTTCATCAAATCATTGCCATGTTTTTTCATGATATTTTTTTTTATTGTTTTCTTCTTTTTTTGGGTCAGTATTTTTTATTTTAATTTTTTTTACATTTTTTGTTTTTAAAAATAGAAGAAAAAAGAAACACACTGCTCTTAAAAACATCTATCTCTATATATATATTTTTACATATATATCCTTTTTTCTTTATATTTAATATTTTTTTAGTTCCTGAAGTTGACTTGTTACCCCACATAGTGGCATGCACATTGCACATGCAAATCTGTAATTAAATACGTCTCTTTTATCTTAAATTGCCATTTAAGTTATGTTTTCCCCTTTTGCCTCCAACTTGCTGAGTGAATCCTGTATGGTTTTCTAGTGTGGCACTGGTTCGGCTTCTACTGGGTTGAGTGTCAGATGGTGTGAATAATGATGGAATGAATGGTCTACAGTTGCTTCACAGAGATCTCCCAGTTGGTTTGTGAATTAAATTGAACTGTTTGGTCCTACTATTGGATGATGGCATTATAACAGTTTGTTATGAATTATTTAATTTTTTTTCGGTTTGTAGCATAATGACTTAAGTTTTACCAAAGGAGTCTAAACTCCTGTTATGTCCCTCACTTTTTGGGGATTACATCAAAAGATTTTTTGAAGCATCAAAAATTAGAAAACGTCATGTAAACTTAATCAATATGTCCAAGATTTTAAAAATAATCTGACTTTGAAACCATTTGGCATTGTCAGATACTTTAAAATATTTCTGTTTGCAGCATTTGGCCTATTTTGGGTGCATGGGCCCTCCCAAAATTATCCCAATCCCCCTAAAAATATATAATTATAAATCCATACATTTCATACAATATATATTGTAAGAGATCTTGTACATTTAGCAACATTATGAATAAAATCGAAAATTAATATTTTTCCTTCCTACAACCCTGGGGGCTAAGCCCCCCCATGTCTTTCAATTCTAGTGACGTCCCTGGTTTGAAGGTTCCTGGGTGCTAAAAAGCTGGCAACAGATCCCTTGAAGCAACTTGTCTCTAAAAGGAGATGAAAAAATAAAGAGACAGAGAGAAAAAGAGAGAAATGGATGGAAACACAGAAAGAGAGTGAGTGGGGGCCTACAGCGATGCAATGCAACAGTAAGAGACACCGAAGTCATCAACGCACACGAGCCAAACATGTTTCAGGATTTGGAAATAAAAAACCATTTGCAAAATAACGCATATGTTTAATTGAAGTGTCAGCAAATAACTTTTAATGCAATAAATCACACGTAAGCCAAAAATGTTTCTCAAATGCTAAAAATATTAAATATGTGTGATTAGAGAGAAGTCAAAATGAGTCAGTCCTAAAATCTGCTCGGCTCCAATAATTTACTAGAACACTTCGTCATGCTGCAGACAGACCGTCACAGAAAAAACACACCCACACATGAACTCACTCACTCCTCTCCATTGCACTGACGGTGACAACGAAGGCTAAATCCTGCAACCCTGTGTTTACAGATGGTATTACACTAACAATGTGGTGGCACAAGCAGAACAAGGCGCTGGAATGAGAGAGAGAGAGAGAGAATGAATCATAGCCAGGAGACGGATGAATGATGATGAACACGGGAACGTTTTCAGAAACTTTATGGAACATTTACACAGGAATTACAGAGCCATATATACATCAGGTGGTATGGGAAATGGGGAGAGGATGGGTGAGACAGATCACATGATTATTAACCAAACCCCACTCCGAAACAATTCACTTATGCACACACACACACACACACACACACACACACACACACACACACACACACACACACACACACACACACACACACACACACACACACACACACACACACACACACACACACACACACACACACACTCGTCTCATCCTGTACCCATTCAGGCTTAGGTGAGTCGGAAGAGATGACACTTTTATTGGGTGTGATCAAGTTAGGTGGTGAAAATAATCATGTCCTGTACAGTGTAAGGCACTGAGGGTTCCCTACTGTAGCTGATGTTGTGAGGACACACTTGTACACACAAGGATGAACTGACAGGTACAATTCACTCACACACAAAACTAAAGCTGAAGCAAATAATCAATGCTCTGATTAAACTCATCCTAGCAAAGTGCAGAAGTTAATTTCTGCTTCCTATATTTTTCTGTGTGTCATATACAGGTGCTGGCCAGTAAATTAGAATATCATCAAAAGGTTGAAAATATTTCAGTAATTCCATTCAAAACGTGAAACTTGTACATTATATTCATGCAATGCACACAGACCAATGTATTTCCAATGTTCATTACATTTAAATTTGATATTCATAAGTGACAACTAATGAAAACTCCAAATTTGGTATCTCAAAAAATTAGAATATTCTGAAAAGGCTGAATATAGAAGACACCTGCTGCCACTCTAATCAGCTGATTTACTCAAAACACCTGCAAAGGCCTTTAAAATGTCCCTCAGTCTTGTTTTGAAGGCACCACAATCATGGGGAAGACTTCTGACTTAACAGCTGTCCAAAAGACAATCATTGACACCTTGCACAAGGAGGGCAAGACACAAAAGGTGATTGCTAAAGAAGCTGGCTGTTCGCAGAGCTCTGTGTCCAAGCACATTAACAGACAGGCGAAGGGACGGAAAAAATGTGGTAGAAAAAAGTGTACAAGCTCTAGGGATAACCGCACCCTGCAGAGAATTGTGACGACAAACCCATTCAAAAATGTGGGGGAGATCCACAAAGAGTGGACTGCAGCTGGAGTCAGCGCTTCAAGAACCACCACGAGGAGACTCATGAAAGACATGGGATTCAGGTGTCGCATTCCGTGTGTCAAGCCACTCTTGAACATGAAACAGCGCAAGAAGCGTCTCGCCTGGGCCAAGGACAAAAAGGACTGGACTGATGCTGAGTGGTCCAAAGTTATGTTTTCTGATGAAAGCAAGTTCTGCATTTCCTTTGGAAATCAAGGACCCAGAGTCTGGAGGAAGAGTGGAGAAGCACAGAATCCACGTTGCATGAGGTCCAGTGTAAAGTTTCCACCGTCAGTGATGGTGTGGGGTGTCATGTCATCTGCCGGTGTTGGCCCACTCTGTTTCCTGAGGTCCAGGGTCAATGCAGCCGTCTACCAGGAAGTTTTAGAGCACTTCATGCTTCCTGCTGCTGACCAACTTTATGGGGATGCAGACTTCACCTTTCAACAGGACTTGGCACCTGCACACAGTGCCAAAACCACCAGCACCTGGTTCAAGGACCATGGTATCCCTGTCCTTGATTGGCCCGCAAACTCGCCTGACCTTAACCCCATAGAAAATCTATGGGGTATTGTGAAGCGGAGGATGCAATACGCTAGACCCAACAATGCAGAGGAGCTGAAGACGACTATCAGAGCAACCTGGGCTCTCATAACACCTGAGCAGTGCCACAGACTGATCGAGTCCATGCCACGCCGCATTACTGCAGTTATTGAGGCAAAAGGAGCCCCGACTAAGTATTGAGTGCTATACATGCACATTCTTTTCATGTTCATTCTTTTCAGTTGGCCAACATTAGAGAAACAAACATTTTTTCATTGGCCTTTAGAATATTCTAATTTTCTGAGATACCAGATTTGATGTTTTCATTGGTTGTCACCTATAAATATCAAAATTAAACATAATAAACATCGGAAATACATTGGTCTGTGTGCATTGCATGAATATAATGTACAAGTTTCACGTTTTGAATGGAATTACTGAAATATTTTCAACCTTTTGATGATATTCTAATTTACTGGCCAGCACCTGTACATGCATACATATGTATGTATGTGTATATATATATATATATATACACATACATATGTATGTATGTGTATATATATATATATATATATATATATATATATATATATATATATATGTACACACACTAAATTTAGACTTTAACATAATCCCCTATCCCGAGCAAGTTTTAGGCAACAGTGAGGAGAAACAACTTCCTTTAAACAGGAAGAAAATGTATATTGTTTTATTGGTTTCAGCCTCAGCCCACCCACACACACACACACACACGCGCGCGCACACACACACATACACACAGTAAATGTCTTGCCATCGCAGCAGAGGCCCCGCCCCCTCTCAGTTCGACTAAATGAGGGTGGATTGAAGGTGAAAAATGGGCTGTGAGGATGAGCGTGCAAAGTGGTTCAGTGCCATTGTGAAATTGTGTATTAACACCACTAAACCTATGCTGCTGCTGCACCCCCCACCCATCCCAAACAGTACCCCCACATCAGCCACTCATCACCCCCCAAACTCCCGCCCCCTTGCACACACACGCACACGCACACACACGCACACGCACACACACACACACACACACACACACACACACACACACACACACACACACACACACACACACACACACACACACACACACACACACACACACACACACACACACACAGTGCTGTACAAAGGGGAGATCACAGCGTGGCTTTAGCTATATAAGCACAACTTTTGGCAGCACTACTGTACATTAATACCCACTGTGAATGTTTTTTTTTTGTTTCATTAAAAGAGCCCTTTTTGTTGACACGTCACCTCACAACTGACCCACTGACACAATTTCACAGCCGGCTGAGTGGATGGGTGGTGCATTTGTTAGTTTTTCTCCTTCGTCCCAAAGAGAAGAAGGAAGGGGAAAAAAGGTCAGATATTAACAGCAAAAGGTGACAGAGACAGAAAGCAGATACAGAAACAGGTGATGACTCAGCAAAATCCTCGCAATCAACCAAAACAAATATAGGATGTTCACTTATTTTCTTTAAACAATGGGATACATTTTTTGTGTTTTGGAAAGCACACACACACAAACGCACACACAACATGCTGTCATACAAAGCAGTGTTGTGTCGGCCATTTTGGATCTGCTGTTACAATTCTGGACAAGCAGGTGGATTCATGAAGGAAGAATGAAATTAGTTTTTTTTTGTACCTGCCAGTCTGTCAACATGCCTCATGTTGAGCATTGGTGCATTTGGCAGGCTGTTATTGAAGACATGTGGGACTGTGAAAGGTGAAATCAACGTTACGTCTGACGCCGTGCCAGGTGAAACCATACAACACCTCATGCCGAGTGCTGACTCCATGTTTCTCCTCTGTGTATTCTAACTCGCTACCTAACTCTAGAGGGACCTGAGAAGTTATCAAACAGCTTTCCACCTCTAAACTCGCACTGCACTGCTTTAAATTGGACTCAAAATAGGTGCCATGCAAAAGCCAAAAGCGCTAACCAGTTAGCTTGATCCAGAAATAAAGCCATTGGGCCAAAACCTCAAGGCTCTGATTCAAACGGTGAGGATTTCATTAGAATTTTGGTTGTTTAAAAAAAAATCGGAGTCTTTGAATGGTGGATTTAAATAGTCTAGCCCATTTAAAACTAAATCTTGGTCTCCCTAGCCATTTGACTCCTTCCTGACGGTAGCCCAGTCTCAAAATCCACACTCCCCCCATCTCTACACAAGCACGGGAGCCAGTGAGATTTGATTTTAAGGCGTAGTGTAACACAGAGGATGAGGAGGGGGGTAGATGAATGAGCACTGAGCAGAGTCGGAGGTGAGGAGGTGACGAACGTGACTCGGTTACAGAAGGCACTGTGGCTCTGTAGTGGGCTTTGGAGAAGACTACTCACCCGCTGAATGCTTCTCATTATGAAAGGTGGGGACGGAGGATTTTCTGGTAAGCACCTCTTTCACTTCCACCAGATTCATATTCAGCAAAAACACCCAACATCTCCAAATCCCATCTTCCCTAAGCCTAACAACCTTGGCCGGCAGGCAACACACATCAGAGTAGCAGACACATTTGTGCAGGGGAAAAGAGATCAGCAACAGACATACCGTGGGAGTGATGTTGGGTGATGTGTGCAAAAGTGGTGTCAGTCATTAAATCGTCTCAGATTTGCAGCTTCTGTTTCAGGAATTTCTTTAACAGTACCACAACGCTGCACTTCCTCCTCTTACGAGGATGCTAATGAGGTCTGCATAAAGCCCCAAAGCGTGCTGGAGGTTGTTTCTGTCTCCTGCTAATGCAGAGAGAATGTTTTTATAAAGTAAGCTCAGCTTTTTCATCATCAGTATGCAAAATATAGAATTATCCTAAATTTAATTATACTTTGTATCTTTATAAACTACATATATATTATTCTATTTAGATTTCCATGTAAGGCAATTGTATTGTTATCTGATTTTTATAATTTGACCTAAAGATCATTCAACAACTATCCTTTGTAATAAAGATAACATTAATAATTCTCAGTGATTCTGCTCTGTGAAATGCTTTTTAGTTTTAGTAAAGGATGTGAAGCAAATGGACAGAAATGAAGACAGATGAAACGAGAGGTCAGTGGATGCAGATGTGTTCTGTCCTTTTGGTGGAAAAAGGATTCAGCTTTGCTACAGACTTACTTGACTGGGCAGGGTTGATCTGAGAGAAGGGGTGTGTGTGTGTGTGTGTGTGTGTGTGTGGAGTGGTGGTCAGCATCTGGGTATAGCTATGATTTCTTGACCACTAATTAGGTTTGTGTCTTTTGCAACGACCAGAGAAGCAGGGATTCGTAAGAGATGATAACTGCCCTCTCAAAGACGCCGACCCTGTACCCTGTGCCCCTGTACCCCCCACGCTGTGCTCATTTTCTTTCTTTTTTGAAGGGACAGAAATAGGAGAAAGTCAACCTCAGTGAACTTCTGTAAAATCAGCGCGGATCCACGTCTCACTCTGAACACGAGTTACAGATCTTTGGGTTGGCTTGACAGGAGAACTGACCCAGATACTGAGATTCCCCTTACCTCCGCTTTTACTAATCTGGAGGAAGAAAACATATCTTAAGCATTGCGTTACAACACGCAACGCTACTGAGTGGACGTTCCAAAGCTCTCTCGTTGCCACGTACTGTTGCCCGAAGGCATCGCAAACCCAAGTAAACGTCGTAGAGCAGGGGACACCAGCGGCAAAGATGCAAACGAGATGAACACAGCATATCTGAACTCCAATTAACATGACAGCAAGTTCACAGCAAAAAATCTATCATTCAGTCAATCATCACCAGTGTCATCATCATCATCACTATCATTTTGCATTGGCATTAAAATCATTATTCATATCTGTCATCATTAACAATAATAAATGAAGTGAGGCAGAAGTTCCTTCTAACCTCTCTCTCCCCCTCTTGTTTCTCAAGCCCTGCAGGGTAATTTTCTTTATTTTATTGTCTCTTAAGTTGCAGAAATGGAGATTTCCACAGAAGGTTGAGACAAACAAAAACAAGCTGAGTGTCGAAGCCTCATTTTAGTAAAAAATAATCCAGTTAAATGACTTTTTTGACAAGTAAACGAGAGACAAAGTCACAGAAAGAGAGAGAGCGAGAGAGAGAGCGACGGAAAGAAGATAACTTCTTTTGTAAACCTAAAGTTTCCTATAAAGCCCCCAAGTCCCACCCACACAACTTAAAGTTCCTCTCTAGTTATGTATTTTAATCAGTCATGCAGATTTCCATCAAATTTTGGACTCTGAAAAAGGTCAAAGGAGGCTGAGCGAATGCAACAGAAGAACCAAACTTCAATGTCCGTAGAACAAGAAGGAGAAGAAATCGATAGAAGTAATTCTGAAGAAATTAGTCTTTTTTCCCCCATCCCTCCTTTCCTCTCCTCCGCCCCATTCAGCTGTGTGATGTCATTTCCTGTCAGCTCATCATCCTTCAAACACCGGGTCGAGTAACAGAGGAGGAAAGAGGATCCAAACAGAGTTCCACCCCCTTCTCTTGTTACCTGAGCCCGTCCTTCCTCCCTGTTGCTAATGCTACCTTGACAGGAAGTGATGTCACAGCAGTTCCCTCAGCATCAAGTGAATCCATAACAGTAAACAGAGATGATAAAACTCATCAAATATCAGCCAGCACTGTGATTGGCTGGTTTTTGCAGTATAGGCGGAGCTTCCTGTTTCTGTCCCTTTGAAACAAAAGAGATTAAAGATAAAGTTGATGTTCTCCCTTTTTTGTCATTGTTCATGTAAAGTTTCAACGTGTTCTTCATTGTTCAAGTTTGATTTTCTGGAGGCATAGCTTGGCATGTAAGGGTTAGAGGGGGTCCTGGCTTTTTAGTAATTTGTTTTTCTTTAAACACTTCTGTTTCAGAGCAGAGACAAAGGGATGGACTCCTCCTTCCAGCTTTGTTTCGGTGTACAGTAGTCGTAGCCAGGCATCAGTCAGGCGTCTGAGCAAAGGCTGTTAGGCCTCAAGAACCACGACAACACATCACGTTTGTAGAACTTCCTGCTCCTCCATTGCTCTCTGCTCCACGCATCTCTCTCCCTCCTGAAACGTCGCCTTGATGGTGAAGGCCAGTTGTGAGAAGTGTAGTTCTGAGACAGAGAGAGACAAAGACAGGGCGTGCTCTGGCCTTTCCCAAGTTCTCTTGGCTTTCTCAGTTTTATTTTCTCCATCGTTCGGCTCTGTCAGACTTTACTCCTCCACCAAAATGTGTAAAATACTATTTGCAGCACCTTCACCCCATACCTTCCGCTCTTTAGAGTCCAAAAAGGTGAAGGCAAAAGGCTTTGAGCTTGTCCAACCCTCCCCATCACTGATTTTTTGAAAGTTTTCATACCACTGGCCAGAGCACTGGAGGAAGTGGTTCTTCTCTGTGGTCTGTTTTGCCTAAACTCTACGGTCGCTAGCACCAGTCATCCTCATCCGTCTCACTGTAAGGTTCATGCAGGCCTTTGCGAGGCCTTCTATCATGTGGAGGCCGGTGGTGTGGATGGGGTGCTCCCGGCGGTCCCCGCCTATGTGGAGAAGGTGAGGATGACCGGTAGCCATTTGGTACCCTCCGTGGGTGTGGGGGTGGAGGGGGCCCATGGCGGGCAGTCCTAGGTGAGCGTGGGTGTGGGTGAGGATTTCCTCCATGTGGATGAGGATTGCCATGGGAGAGGCTCTGCTCGTAGGCAGGAGGCTCGTGGTGACGCTCGTACTCAAAATCCCGCTCATAGAAGGGCCCATCACCCTCTAGGCTGTCGCCGGGTGGAGGCCCGCTCCAGCGGCTCCGGTGAGGGGACCTGGGTGACTCGTGGAGAGGCGAGTGTGGGGACTGGTGGCGGGGTGAGCGAGGCGAACCGTGCCTGGACGAGGATCCGCCGTGGTGCGGTGAGGCATGGCGAGATGGGGGTCGGTGGTAACCTCTGTCGTGATCAGGCGGGGAGAAGTGTCGAGGGGAAGGCGAGCGCAATCGGCCTGAGCCTGGGGGGCCATAGATGGGCTTGCGGACGGCGGGGGAGTAGGTGACATGTGGACGTGGAACAGCAGGGGTCTGGGGCAGCTGGCGACGGCCTCTCCGTGGGGTACTGGTCCCCGAGGTGGATGGGACCGGGCTGCCGCTTACCGAACTACTGCCCTACAGCAAAATGTAAACAAGGAAAATCAAAATTCACCATCACAACAGACCAGAATAAAAGATAGATAGATAGATAGATAGATAGATAGATAGATAGATGATAGATAGATAGATAGATGATAGATAGATAGATAGATAGATGATAGATAGATAGATAGATAGATA